GCCAAAGTCAGGGATTAAGGCGATTTGAGTCAAATTTTCAGTATTTTGAGCGTCAATCATCTTCTATGGACTAAGAAAGTTTCCAGTGTCTGCGTACTCTAGATTGGAAGTTGGGATTTTTTGAAGCAAATAGTGTTTTTGGACGAAAACCCCCATTTTTATGCCCAATTTAGCAGGTCGACAAAAATCAGGAGTTAACGCGATTTGGGTTCAATTTTCAATATTTTGAGCGTCAACTGCTATAGACCGGTAAAGTTTCAAGAGTTTACGTGTAAAGAGGGATTTTTTCAATTAAAGCGTTTGGGCAAAAACGCCCATTTTTACGCCAACTTTTCCACGTCACTGAACTTCAGGGATTAAGTTGATTTGCATAATTTCTCTGGCAGAAGTAGATGAAGCAGGCAAGATTGAAAATACTGTTCAAGAACCAACGTGCTCCAAGTGAAGTTGAGAAGACCGGAGAAGGATTCACCAAACTGCGTAAAAAAGCCACTCCAAGTGCAACTGAGAAACTCGGACCATCACCAACAGAACTGCCCGAAAAGAAACGTTGATCGTTCTGGCTTGAATTGTGTGATATTGAAGATTTTTGGCTCGGTTTGATTCCCGCTTTATTCAGCCAAATTTCTCTTCAAACTAACGTACACTAAACATACCACTGATCTTTCAGGCGGTTTAGTAGCAGCAACAGTCTCGGCAATTCCGCCTTGCTTCATTCCTCTGAACAGTTAATTAAATTTCCGTTAAAAGCTTAATTAACCGGGATGCCTTAAGTAATTAAATTAATTGAGACGTTCATCATTCTAATGTGAGCATTTAACTGCTCAGGGCCGGCATTTCATTCTTATTCAAACTGCTTGTAGTTAGCGCCGTATGAGTTACAGGACTTTGTGCCGTGTTTTAATTTCTACCATTAAATATAAACTGCGATTTATGCGGCTTTTAATATATTTTTATGAAACCAGCCCTAAAAAGCACAATTTTCTGTTTTCCACGTAAAAACTGAAACGTGAACGACGTCTTTATCGGTTAAGAGACCCAATTCGGGGATAGAGGAAAATCGTAAAGTTCCGCTGTCGATAGAAAAGTTATTGGAAGTTGTACTTTTAACAGTTTTACGATATTGTCTTGTTTGCGATTAAATCAAAAGACGGGTTGCTTTAACCGAATTTTCCGGCCGAGGAGTTTGGAAAGAGCCGATGTAATAAAGGCAAAACAACAATGTTGGCCAAATAAATTCTTGGTCAGATCGTTTTCCAATGAGCAATTTTTTCAATTTTTTTGGTTGAATAGTTTAGTAGAATTGCTTTAACTGAAAGTGACGAAAACTCACTCTAAGGGCCACATTTTCCTGCTTGTTTGTCCTTCACTTTTCCATTAACTAACTCTTGACTTTGATATTCTCGCTCCGCCTTTCCTCAAATGCAATGCTGGAAAATGCATTCAGCATTTCTGCGAAATCTGTCGAAGCCAGCTTTTCCGTCGCTGTTCATATGCCGTCTACATGACATACTCGATTAAGTTGCTGAGCCTCATACGCGTCTATTCTCAGCATTTTGTTCTTGATGCCTTGCTGAGTTCCTCTAGGGAAATGTGGCGTACATTCAGCAATTTTTTGCAATTAAAACTGATGTTTGATGCTGTATAATTTCACAAATCCTAACTAAAAATCGCCCAATCAAGCCCATTAAGTTCCTACTTGTGGACGTTCTTGTATTTTCCTTGCAGGCAATGAATCTTCGAGATAACAGTGACTATTATGGAAAATTTCGGGTTGGTGAGGTTCAATTAAACAACTCTGGCAGTTTTATTAGAAAGGAATAAGAAATATTTACGTTTAGGAAGCACTTAAGGATAAAACCTTTTCAGCCCACATAGGACATGCTTTTGTTAGTCGAAAAAACAGAATTGTTTCAAAAAACCCAATTCTCTCAAGGATAAGAAGAAAATATGGAGAACGAAAAAAAAACGGATGGTTTAATCGAATAACTTTCAGTGAGTTGCTTCTTTCTTCTACTGATCCACAGCGGTAGTTTATGCAATCGAAACTTTCCAGTGCGCTTAAAAAAATCCTTCTGCAAAGCGCTTGATTTCTTGATGCGCTGATAATTTTGAAACTGAAGCGCGTAGTAAGGAAAAAGCCCTTCGGYTTAATTAAAATACGYATTAACACAACATAAATTATGAAAAACGTCGGCTTGTTGAGGCTTAATTAAGCAAATTATTTGCGTTCTTTTAGGGTTTGAGGGTT